ATGTTACCAATGTTCAGTTTTGAATCTTGATTCTCATTTTTGATAGATTTCGAATTTTTAGAATGAAATCTCAACTTTCATCCATATTTTAGAACCATATTTATTCTTTCATGTACTCATACAAAATTCTTTCTTATTATTTTGAATGCTCAGTACCTTTTAATTCAGTAATTTGTACTAATTGAATGCATTCTACATCACTTTAAATGTTTCGACTATGCAAATTTTCACTTTATTACCTTTTCCTACACTATGCATGGATATTTATGCCTTCATGAATGACTTTCATGTGAAATTGACGATTATTTAGGTTACATATCCAAAAGAAAGTCCTAATACATTTCCAGTTTTGAATAAGAGATGAATGACCATTGATTTTACGCATTGGTTACAATTTCATCTCCTGAAAGTTTGTTTTATTGGTACACTTTATTTCTAACGCATAGTGTTAACACATTTTTTTTAACTTAGTCCAGTTCCAACTTAATTTCTCTAGACAATATCATATATAGTCTGTTTTTTAATTTCTTAGACTAAAATGTTCTTTTCGCAAATGTCAGTTTGCATTAATTTATTTACCAATTTATTTTCTTATAAACGAAATCTTGTAAAACACTACCATACCTTTACATAACATATATCATTACCAATATACCTATATTTACAGAAGGAACCAAAGAGAGAAAGAGTAAGAGACATTTTACCCAAATCTCCACTATAATTTCGAATATTTTAACCTTCTTCATCACAAATACAGAACTTTCTTCGTACAATACTTATTATACCAGTTAAATATGCCTTACTAATACACATTTGATGAGGAATAACCCCTTTTCAATTCAAAATTACACCCAAATAAGTGTTATGTTTCCTTATAATTGTACATAAATGTTTGCATTATATAGGAAATTTATATCCATTTTCGAGAACTGTAATTTACTAAATATTACCTCTTTCTGAGAGAAAAACTCCAAACACCATATAAATCATTTAACTTTTCCTGTAGTATTACCACACTACAGAATGACTATCTTAGAACTATTTTCTTAATAGTAAGAACTAAATATGAAATAAGCATTTTTCACTATAGAATATTTAAGGTTTCACCTAAATGAGGATATAACCTTTATCGAATTTAAGTTATTTATCCAGAATTCCCAACAAATGTTTAGAAAATGTGTGATAGAAAGCAATATATTTACCTATATTTACCTAAGTCTTAACAGATTTTTATCGGCTCCAGATTTACTATCAGTGAGAAAAACCTGAAGTTCACTTTATCTACCCTTGTCAGTATACACAAAAAAGTCATGAATCATTCTGTAGTACAATTAGCATTTTACATACATTTAATACTACTCCAAACAATTTTTATTAACTTTCAATTAGGATTTTTAAAAGAAAAGAATATTTATGCTATACATTATTAAATTACCCCGAAGCGTTGTTGAGGAAAATGCAAGAAAACGCTAAGAAAATCCCACTCATTAGGAACAGTAAAACCTTACCAATACTTAAACGAAATGTAAAATCTTGTAATGCATTAATATAAAACCTGAGTAACAAATTATTTCCTATAAGCTGTATACTGTTAAAAAGAGTTTTCTTATAACTTATCAACTTTTAAGAAGTAAGAGTAAGGTAATGAACCAACGTTTTTAGAAGTTTTCCTTTATTTTCTAAATCTACCCTTTTGTAGTAACGAGAAAATTCAATCATACCCCTATTTTATTTTTATGGAGGCATGCGCATTTCTCCTAACAGACAAAAATTCGAATATCTCACTTTTCCAAAGATTTAGCTTTAGACTTACTTTCATCGGAAAAGGAAATAATTTTACTTAAAAAACAGGATATCTTCTACTCAAAGAACTTGAAGCAATCATGATCACATCTATATGTAGCACTCAGTGATCTAGTTTCAATCCAAATTTTGATATTGTTTAATCACGCAAGCAACAATTTTCATCTTCGAGTTAAATTTTATACGACTGCAACAGATTTTTCAATGGCTTTCATACTCACATTGTGTAAAAGACTTCTAGTTTTGACTATTTTAATTTCTAATATTGAGAAAAACATTGATTCTTTTCAGAAAACGTCATTTCAGAATCATATTTTACCACTCTGAAACTTTTGAATAACACTTTCTACCATAACGACAACCAGATACTACATTATTTTTTTTACAAAAACATGAAAATTTTTTTTCTAATTCCTCTTCTAGAAATACCAATAAATTCTGCTATAGAAAGAAGATTCAATTCCTATTATAACTCTATATACTATTTGCAAAGAGAAAAGATACTCTAGATCCGGGATTCCCAAAGTGGTCGATAAGGGGTCGATATCGGTTTCCTAGGGGTCGACATAAACGAAAACTGATTTTGGGGGTCGACGAGGTCTAAAAATCGACCCCTATTAAATTAACACAAGTTCTTATTTAAAACTTTCAAGATAGGTAGGTACTGTATTGTTTATGTTGTGTTACGTGTACTAAGAATAATTAATATTTTTGTAGGAAACAGCATTGTTGTAGTAATGTAAAGTCTCAAGTTCGTACAAGATGAAGAACACGACAAGTCTGTGTGAACAAGTTTGTGCAAGATAATGAGTTCGAGCGTACATCTTTCAGGCGCGTTTTGACTTGCTCTATATTTGATGCTTACGCGATTTAACACGAACGAATTCATGATCAAGTCCAAACATGTTCCTGATATTTTACTATTTAGCGAGCTTGCACTTAGGTTGAAAGTTCATTTGCGTTTTGAAATTCGTTGGAGCTTGAACGATAATAACTCATATAAGTACTCATTATTTTCAAGAGATTACAAAGTTATTACATAGCTAATTAAGTAAAGTAAGTAAAGTGACTGATTACTGAGAGTTTTATGATGGTGGACACGAAAAATAATGCAGCCAATACATTTTGGACTACTTGAAGTTCGGATTTATTGCATCTCCATCAAATCAACTCTTGCCGATGTGTCTCATATGTGAAAAAGTATTCAGTAACGATGCCATGAAGCCTTCAAAAATAGATGACCACTTATCAAGAGTACATGCTGACAGAAAAAGTAAGCCCTTGTCATTTTTTCAAGCACTTAAAGAAAAACTAGACAAATGGCCATCCATAAGATCGATGTTTGCGTCATCATCTCTATTAAAGACGATGATGGTTTACGAGCGTGTCCTATAATATATCTTTACTAATAGCGAAGTCGGGGAAACCCCACACAATTGGAGAGCAGCTTATCTTACCAGCCATTGCGGAGGTCCTTAACAATGTATTGCACAAACCCGCACATGATATTTTAAAGAGAATACCTTTGAGCAATAACACCGTTCAGAGACGCATAGACGAGATGGGACGCGATATGGAAAACATTTTATACAAGTTCTTACAGACCAACAGATTCTCTCTCCAGTTGGACGAGTCCACATTACCCGGCAATGAAGCTCTGTTGTTAGGATATGTTCGATTTATCAAAGATGAAATTATGTGCCAAGAACTGCTTTTTGCTACATATTTAGAGACTGATACCAGAGGAGAAACGATTTTTCAGCCGTGGAACATTTTTTTACTGACAAAGCTATTCCATGGAAGAACATTGTTTCTGTACCTAGTACCTAGGTTCTAGGTACCTTAGTACCTAGGTATTTTGTATCAATAGGAAAAAACTAAAGATAAGCTCCCTTATTCATAATAGTCTGCTAACTTAACGCATTGCTAATTCTCACTCTGTCTTCTTCTATTGACCTAAGTCAGAATGAAAAATAACACTCTGTAGCAGCTGTTTTAAGTTATCGGACCATTATGAATAAAGGGGTTGATCTTAAAAGTAGGTAATTTGGCCATGGGGGTCTGAGGTAAAGGAAAAGTTACCCCTTGGAAAAGGGGTAACTTGTCCAAAATAGTTTGGGGATCCCTGCTCTAGATGATAACATATCACCCATATATTTTTAAAAATTTAGAACAATTTCAGTAAAGCAAATTGTCTACAGAGTTTTCAAATACGGATATATTTCTGAAAGAAACTGCCTAATACCGCTCATTTTACTTCTAAACCATTTAACTAAAACCAATCAATTCATAAAATATTTGAATTTTCGATAAGGTTTAGTACATCTATATAGTTATTTAATTCACGAACTACTAAATTTTGAAAATAATAAGAGTAAAAACATCACTATTTCAGAATTTAGGAAGAGATCTTCAATAATGAGAGTGAACATATACCTAACTTCATGCAAGATTTTTATCGTTTCATATCAAACATTTCACTATTTCGTAGATTCTAATAACATAGCCCAATCTTTTTCAAAGAATATATATAATTTCACATTAATTAGAGAGTGCCATACGAGTTTAATTGCAGGTGCTTACTGAATGACACTAAAATTTTCAAGGAAAAAATAAAATATTTTTCATCTTTCATGAAAATCTGTGAATAACAATGATATTTCATAAAAGCTAGAAGACTTAGTGCAATGAAACAGTATCAAAAATAGAAAACTATTTTCAAAATTTGAATTCCTATTGAATTCCTATGAAAGTGACAGCCTGTTAAACTACCACTACCAGGATATGTACATATCCTTGTTTAACAAAGCCTCACTTCCTAATCACTTGTTTACTGGTTGAAGATGATAAAACTACTCCTTCTTATTTTAGATGATTCATTTTCATAAGGTTGGATATATTGGCTATTGTCTTGGAAAGCGTGATGCTACATTTCTAAAAACGTGAAATGTGCTTAATATATGAAATATGCATAGAATTATATAAAATTTTGAAAAGCTTAAAGTATTCTTTAAGTAGGTCCTTGAGTTTAAATAGGTCCTTGAGTCCTCTACTTCCCTTCTCCAAATTCTTAGGCTAATTTTAATTAATCAAGTCTTTCTGTAGTCATTACAACAATTTTAACAACATAATTTTTAAAAATGCTCAAACATATGTATGCACATTCTATTTATTAATAAAGTAGTATTTAGACCTACCGTAAGTTTTTGATGCCCTATAAACATCCAATCCTCCACAGAACATGGAATTTTTAATGTTTGTAACTACTCAGCTGTAACAACAGTGAAAACAAGAGTTTCTATAACAAAATGAAAACGATAAACCATGTTTACATAACACATCAAGCCTTAAATATTTAATTATTTACACTTTTACAAAATATTTTCAATTCAAGCTTCTTAATAATAATAACAGTATTTTAAATACAAATAATTAGATTAGCTCCAAAAATACGTGTAAATCCGCATTAAATAGTGAACGGTTTTAATAATATATAATTCAGATTCCATAAGTAAACAAAAAAACCTAAATGACACTGGCACACATATACAAAGGGAAATTTCGAAACCAATACATAATTATGCGCCGCAAGAACCAATAGCAATATTGATAAAATGCAGCAAAAATTTAAATTCAAAGCATATTTAATTTGCAATAAGAGGCTGCTAAAAATTAAATAAATTACTTTGTAAAAACAATATGCCACGGTGAAAAATTAGTAAACCCTTTCAAAAATTCAATGAACAAGCGTAAAGCTTAAATGCAAAAGAAGAAGAATTTTTGCATAATTGTTACATCTTTTTAGGGTTTGGTATATCGAGAAACGTAAATGGATCATTCTGTGTCTGAGTTGAATTAAAGTAAATTTACAAAATTTGCTTTAATTCAATATAAAACATTTTGCATTGTGTATCTCTTAATAAAACCATTTATTGATTTTTTACCAACTCTTTATTCCAAGCTGAATATACTTCGAATATATATATATATATATATATATATGAAATCATTTAAATGCGTTACACGTTGAGCCTGGATCTATTACAAAAAATAAAAAATAAAGTAAAATAAAATGCACAAACTCCTTGAGACGATGTGCCCAGAGATATAAATTCTTCATATTTCATTTTTCATTATTATTTACAACACATGTTTTATTTTCACTATTTTTGCTGTTAGTTTTTGCACTTTTTATACATTTTTCACAATAGATCTTAATAAGGTTTTCATTTATTTATTCATTGTGTCTGCTGCCTACGCAAGCAAATATATTTTATTGTTTATAACTTGATTCATGTTGAATACGCAAAGCATTTATTTACATTAATATATATATAATCAATTAATCAATACTGTTTAGGAAATAAATTATATATATATATATATATATATAATAATTTATTTCCTAAACAGTATTAATTAATTGATTATATTATCTCCTAAGTTTAATTAAAGTAGAATTATTTTAAAAGTGTGAATCCATACTGGTAAGTTATATTTTGAAAGATGTATTGAAGTAATTTGAAAGCAAAATGTTAATTATGTTTTAACGGGGACTGGAGTTAAATCATCATGAAGAATAAAATTTCATTTGTAAAAGGAAAAATTAAAAACATGTAATCATTGTCATTGATCGGAAATTAGTTGACTTTTCAATATATATACATATACACACACAACTTGTCCATGAACGTCGTTGCCCACCCTTTATTTTCGCCATTGGTCGTAAACATATACTTTGAATTACAAAAATATTTTACATTTTTCAAAAGATTCATCTTTTCGTATTTTTATATTTAAAAAAAAAAAAGTTTTGTAAAAATTGCGAAACCTATCATTTTATACGTTTGCCGCGTTCCTTATACTCAACTTTAGGAAAATTTTATACTCACTGTAAAAATAAAACACAAAAATTTGACTCCCATACAATAATAACTAAACGAGACATTTAATTTCAAAATTTACAGTTTTTGACACCATTTTCAACTTGCTTTGAGGACTCGTAACTTGAAGACTTATAAATAAATTAGAGTAATTCGAGCTTTATTTTTTTCCATTTAAATGCCCTCACCCTCACTTAAATGCACTTGCACTTGAGTCATACTCTTTCGCAATTTTCTAATATGTAATGTTCCTAAATTTATACTTTTTTTCAGTTGGTATAAGGAATTTTCATACATACAATTTGTAAGTTTTAAAATGTTAGAGACATGTTATTAATATTCTCAAACAATTTTATTTCTTTAGAATCCTAATCTAAAAAATACAAAAAATTCTATAAAACAAAATCTTTTTCAATTATCCAAATAAGGTTACGAGTTGGCAATATAACAATACTGACGTTTGACATTGTTTTCTAGAATAAGTATTCTTGAACAGTTCCGTAAATAAGATGACTTGTTTGTAAAAAGGAATTTGTACTGATCAATATTTTTTAAGATAATATGTTTATAAATGCTAGTCATCTAATCTACAAAAATCAGAAATATCTTCTTTAACTCATAGTTTACTCTTAGTTAATTACAAATCTTATGTAATTTACACACTTCGCTCTTCAGTTTGTGTACTGAAGCTGCTTATGGATTTCAACTTTAAACCTAAGTGTGTATGTCGGTCAATTCTGGTCATACTGATGTCACATTTTTCTGTTGCACTTTTTGGATTAGTATAATATTTTTCTGAATATGAATATACGAACGGGGGAAACGCATAAAAATTTAAATTTTGCATTTTTATAAAATTGGCTTTTTTATTTAATATAACCAAACATGAATATTTGTATCACTTAAGAACATTTTGTAACTAGATAGATGTATATGTATACTACCAACAGTTTCAAACATAAAGGCCAGGTAAGGACGTATGGGAACACGCTGTATATATATATGTGCATTTATGAAAATGTAAATATTGTTTACTGATTAAGGATGGTTCTTTAACTCCCTGCACAAACTGCTAACTAAAGTGATTAAGACTATTATTTAAACAAAACAAAATTATACTTTCTTGGAAGGCTGTGTGTGTTCTTAAAATTGCATACAGACTTGTGTTATAAATTCTTCGCAATAACAGCTCAAGTGCTCCTTTGTTAGGAATGTCTGCGTAAGAAAATAATTTTGAAATCTGAATATATTCGATAATTATACAGAAATCTAAAAACATCGGTGCAGAAAGAGACTAACTTACGCAATATAATATTGTGCATTTAATATATTTATTTATATCTTTCAATGATATACTTCACCTGAAATCCGATACAATTTATTCACTATTTGAAAACGACTAAGGGTCATGAAATTGTACAGTAAAGCTCAAATGAGCTTTAGTAGTGATATAATAGTCAGTACAATATTAGAAATGTTGTACGGAATTTTATTGTGCAACAATACCTTCAAATAATACATTCAAATCAGAGAATTGTTTATCAGTAATTTGTTGGTCAAATAAATATGTTTCCAAAATATCAAATTTTCAGTTAATTACAAAATGAAAAATTATAAAACCGATGAGAGATAATTGCATACTATTCATTATATAAGATTTAATATATCTTAATTCTAAATGAAATATTTAAGTAACTGTGTCATTAAAAAGAAAAATTATTTATTTTATAATATTTAATGTGTGAAAAATTCATAGAAAGAATAATGATTGTTTTATAGATGATATGTAAACAATCGCAAAGCCTATAAAAATATCATTATTGTTTTTATATGTGATATACATATAAGTATGTGAATAAGCAAATAATTATATAAATATGCAAATATTCACAATATTAAGACAGTTGATAAATACTTTTATCTTTAGATTTCTTTTTCTTTTTACTTCTGAGGTTTTGCAAAGCAGTGGCATAGCATCGTAATTAGTAAAAGATGGAATGTTTGAAGCAAACTCATAACGTAGCAAACTCATAACTAACTTCGTAAAACCGTGTACTCCAAATGTATTCATAAAGATAAGAAATCATGTTAGAGTTTTTTAATCGCTCTTTATAACTTTAAAATTGTGTAACTTGAAATAATATAACATGAACGAAAAAGAACTTTTTCTCTAATTTTGAATTTAATTATTAGTAAATGTAACTTAAATGTTTTATTATAGTATCGTGTTAAACATTTTAATATAAGTTATGGCCGTCATTTTTCCAATAGGGCTAAAGGATATCACAGTAAAATCCTCATTTTAGATGATATTTAGTTTAACTTTTAAACCTGTTACAAATTATTACATATCCACATTTTAATTTTAAAACTAGTTTCCACATTTTTTCAGTGTCTCCTGTAGAATAAAACTTTAAATCAATAAGAACTTGTAGCGTCATTAGGTTATTTTGATGCTGAAGACACGAAAAAAGAGCAATGCGCTCGCCGAGACTCGAACCTTCGGGGCCTCCCAAATACGCGCCGAGTGGGCTGACTATTACACCACGAAGGCATGCTAGAAGGCGGGAGCTTTCCAGCTTATAAGCTTACTAGTTCTGAAAAAGCTAAAAACTAAGAGAAATTCGCTTATGGGGCAGACTTATGTCAAGGATCGCTTTTGACAAGAAATTTCTTTATAAAATCGGAAATCGGTCTCGATATGCAGTTATGAAAGAAAGGAGAAAGTTACAGGGATAGGTTCTAAGTCATTCTGAAAGTTAACCTAATCTAACAACATTAGCAAGGCCTCGATTCTCTAATGAATGAAATATTGCCTTAAATTAAAATGTTTTGCCCTTGATTTCAGTCCCCAATGATCTGCCTGGAATAATTTTTTCGATGTGTTATCATTAATGATAACTTGTCGAGCACATAGAAAGAATTAAAATTTTTAACTGCTCAATTATACTTGCTGCTTGTTTTTGATTACTCTCCTTTTTGAAAACGTTACTTGTAAATGTAAACATTTGTCAACTGTCATATCACACACATTTTTTCTCTTCGATTTTATGAATCATATTAACTAAGATGCTGAGTCTTTGCTGATGCTGGAAATAATAACTAAAGTAGCAATAAGGGAAAACTAAAGTAAACAATAGATAAAGGAGACAACTCATGCCTTAAATCTCATTCAGCTCATATTATCTTAAAACTAAAATCAAAGCAGTTTACAAAATACAAATCCCGAAATTAGATTATAATAATAACACTTGTAACATCAAGTTGATTGTATTGTTGGAATCTTAAAATTCACAATTTTCAGTACATAAAAATGACATCTCTTTTCAAAATAAGAGTTTCTGAAGGTAGGATTCTATTTTTAATTGCTTTACAAATCGCTGCCATCCACAGCTTCGAAACAAAGAATAATTCAAACAAACATTTTAATATTTTCTAGTGTTTTCAAATGTTAAGTTATGTGCTTTCGTGTGTTAACAGTTTGTATAAACTTCGTGAGTAAACACGGCAGACAGGAAAATACCGACAAAACATTTTGAACCTTTTACACAACTCCAAGCCATAATAATTTTTGCTGGTAATCCGGGTATCTTCATCATCTCAATATTTTCATCAATTTACATCCAAAATATATATGGTATAGTGAATATAAAAAAGTATGGCAGCGCTTAAAGTTCTATAAACGTGAAATTTGATCAGCTGACTGCGTACCGTGTATACACATTTTTTTCTCTTCACCTTTTCTAATATAAGATATCATGACGCAAAGAAATACATATAATTAAATTTATATACAGTCCTTAGCAATGTCACAATAAATAAAATCTGTTCAGTTTCTTTAGATCCTTATAATTATTAGTTCTGAAACGAAAATATCATTTTCATGTTCATTTGTATTTCCTTAATACGTTCTTCCGAGAAATATTATAATTACGTTTCTTGTTAACTTACAAAAACTTAATATCAAAATTTCCCGATCAAGAAGCCGTCTTTGGTTCTTATTCAAAACTGTAGACTTTTTCCCATAAATTTATTTATTCAATTATTGATGCTAAATCTTAAATATCTGATCAGCAGTTTGAAACAAAACAAAGAGATATATACTTTTATTTAACATTTATGTTTCATCTTAAATCAGAAAATCTGACCCAGTTTGTTTATAGAACATTCATGTAAAATATATTAAATATTTCAAAATTTCACAGCAGCTGTAAATGTAAAACATTTTCTTAATTGAAAAAAACTTCTTTTACAAAACCTTTAATTCTATAAATACTACAAGTATAAACCCATCGTTGTATTTTGATAATATAATATACATGATGATTAAGCTAAAACACTATCTAGAGCTCGCGATGTGTTTCCTCGCAAACTGTATATTACCTTACTTTCGCCCTTGTACTCTTTGCCTTTGTTATTTGTATTTCACTATAAATGCACTTGTAAAATCTTTAATATACATAAAAAATAACGTACTGTGTTATTTATTTATCATGCAATTTAATTTCAGTTTTAGGTAGTCTACCGCCTTATTATAAATACATAACGACAATCACATCTAATACTAAAATTAGTTTATCTGCTAAGCAGTTTTTACATAAATTAGGAGATACTTCTATTAAATTTCAGATTGCAAGGATACTTAAATAAATACAAAGCCAATAAAAGTTTATAAATGCGTGAAAGCCGTTTTAGATTATATTCATATACACGACGTTAATTTTAAAAAAATCTGAAAGACTTCAGATTTTCACTGTCGGCCAGAAGGATTCGTTAAAAATTTTCACGCTCTCGCTGAGCACGTAATCTACCACTCTGCTGTTAAACACACTCCTACTAACACTTTTTTTTTTTTTTTTTTTTTTTTTTGTCTTTTTAGCTTTATTATCAGGCATCATTTTCTTTGCACTTACGCCGTACGCAATTCAACAGCAAAATTTAAAAAATTAAAAGGAACATAGCAATATACTTTTAGAATTCACGATGCAGCATTAAGTGTTTGCATACATTTTTCTGATTTTTTTCAGTCATTTCTCAGTTCATCATATTAATGTTCAGTTTTCTTATTTAAGATAGCTTTACAAACTTTTGCATTTTCATTATTAACATTTGTGTGTTTATTTTATATATTAACTATCACGTTCTTAGCACTTACGCCACATAAAATTCGATTCAACAGCAACATCACAAAATATTTAAAAAGAGCATATCTTTAGAATTTCCGACAAACAGTCTCGCCCGTTGGAGGTAAAATTTTTCATGCCGTACAGTGCCAGTGCTTGTTTTCAAATCGTTAATTATTTTGCCAAAAATTCTTTAAAGTTTTGCAAAATGTGAAATAAATAATAAAACAAATTCGAAATTTAAAATTCGAGCTTCCAGGTGCCCATATTCGGGTGGAGGACTAGGTTATTCAAAATTGAATGGCTCTAGTTAACGTTGTGTTTGCACAATGCGAGAAACATAGATCTATTCATGCAGATTCTTTATTATTTAATTTCTTTAAATATAATGCTGGGCGATAACATTTGGTAGCAATACTCTGAAACGTGAAACGGACATTTATAGTGAACCGACTCAAAATGTCGATTCAAAACTAATAGCCCTTCTAAGCTAACGCACTTTTTGATAAAAAATTGATTGAGTTTATTTTAGGTATCCTTTGATGTATTTTCTGAGAACATTTATTATAAGAAACAAACTTAAAACTTTATTCATAAAACGGAATAACTGTACAGTGAGAATCAGAGTGCATGATAATAAGAAATTCTCGAAAAATTTCCAAATGTTTAATGTAGCATAATATGATATAGCTTTAATAATAGCTCTAAGAATCAATTAAGATATCAAAATTAATAGAATTTTACGACTTGTATCTTCCAAATTCGATTACTTGTATCTCCTAAATTTAATCACGTCTTATGAATAAGAGATATTAGAATTAAATATAATAGATGTGTCTTAAGCAATTTCTGCCTACGTCATAAGCAAATTATGCTTATCGACTGATTTATATTTGAATATTTGATTTCAATGCCATCTGTTAAAATCGTTTAATCCATTTGCTTAATAAAGTAATACTATACATAAATGTAAGATATTCGGAATATTAAAAAAGGAGCAATCTTATGAAAATTAATTAAAAACATTTATTAAGCTAATAATACAAATATGGTAAGTATTAGGATATCGAAACTGAGAGTAATTGGCTTAAATATTTACTTTAATAATTATAAACGGTAAGCTTGGGAAAAACTAACATTAGTTTATACGAGGGTTGGAACTTTAATAGTGGCAACTATTTATTTACAAGGAATACAAAAGTGATTCATGTCACCATGTTTTACAGTCCTTCAATATAGTCGCCAGCATTGTGTACAACCCGTTTCCAACGATGTGGAAGTCGCAGAATACCTGTAGCAGCGCCTGTTTTGTTGATAGTTTGAATGAACCGGTCTACTGCCGCAAGAATCTCAGGAACAGTTTGGAAGCGAGTGCCACGAAGTGGTTCCTTCATCTTAGGAATTAAGTCATAGTCACAAGGGCTTAGATCTGGGGAGTATGGTGGATGGTAAAGCACTTCCCAGCCCCATCACTTGAACAAATCAGTCACAGCTTGCGCTGCATGCGGCCGAGCATTGTCATGCAAAATGAGAGGAGAGCTCTGCAGAAAGTGTCGCCGTTTTTTTCTCAAAGCTGGTCGGAGATTGTGCTCCAAAAATGAGCAGTAATACTGAGCAGTGAAGGTCTGCTGTGGGGGAACGGTATGCATTAGGATGACACCATCACTGTCGTACACGAGAATCACCATAACTTTCACATTGCTGGGGTTCTGACGAAATATCGAACGTCGTGGTGACCCGTGATGACGCCATTCGTTTGATTAGCGTTTCAGTTCTGGCTGGTACGATCGGGCCCAAGTCTCATCCAACGTAATGGTACGGCGTAAAAAAGCATCTCCTTCGCGCTCATAGCGCTCCAGGTGGATTCGGGCAGCATCGTATCGTAGCCATTTCTGCATTTCCGTCAATTGATGTGGAACCCATCGTGAAGCAGTTTTTCTCATGGACAGGCGTTCGTTCAGAATGTGCAGCACAGTCGTATGCGCTAATCCTGTTTGTCCGGCAAGCTGACGAATCGTTTGGCGGCGATCACTGTCCACTAAAGCGGCAACAGCTTGCATGTCTGCATCGCTGACATTAGGACGACCTGGCCGCAGCATGTCTGCCACGTTTTGGTGTCCTTCGTTGAATGCTTTCATTCATCCATCTTGCTACGATTTTGTAAGGCAATGCAGATTCCCCGCAAGCCTCTTGAAGCCCTTGATGACACTGTCGTGCTGTACGACCTCTGACACTTTCAATTTTTATCCAACAACATTGTTCTTGTTTTGAAAACATCCTGACAACACATACTTTAGACCGCGAGCTAATACAAGGATTCGTTCTTCGCGTCACTCCGCATGCGCGTGATGTAGGCAGAACGAGTCTTTTTGCTGAGAGGTAAGGTAGGTATGTAATTTACGTGTGGTATACGCGATATTCTTTGGTTTTTGTTGCGTAGCGTTTTTTCAGCTGTGTTGCCGCTATTAAAGTTCCAACTCTCGTACTTTCGAGTTTATGTATGCTTGAGATGTACCTTAAAGTTACTAGTAAAAAGGGGTAAGACTATTCATACAAACCTTATTCATACATTTTTAAAAGTGTGAAAATTATCGTTTTACCTTAAACATAAAATTCAAAATTCTTACCTCTAGTGTTGATTATAATGTCAGATAGCAAAGCATCACATCAGCAACAACCTTTATGCTTATTAATTACTTCTCTTCCATTAACAGAGCAAAAACTTCATTTTTTATTTTCATGCAAAACACAGAAATAGTAATACTTTGTCAAATAATCATAAATCTATAACCATTCTTAGACTATTAAAGCATTAAAAAATTAGATAGAACGATCTCATTTACTAACAGCCTGAAATTATGCACACATAATTTCAAAAGAATAAAACTGATAGGAATGGTGTTGCCACAGAAAATTTTAATGAAAAAATAAAACAATCTGCATTAAAATAAATCAATAGAAGAATCTAAAATGTTTCAAGGCAAATTTTTTGGCAAGAGTTTATTCATGTTGAAACAAAATAATCGCTTAGTGAGTTTAAATATGCACTGCATCTAAGAAAATTTCCATTTGAAGATAATGCTTTTTCTGTTTCAAAAAGGAAATGCAATTCAAAAAATTCTTACGCAATACAAAAACGTTGTAAAAAGATTAGAATTAGCATTTATAATGCCGAGTTAATAATAATATTCGTAATTAAGTTAAAAAGCGAGAAGTGCTACCTTTACATGGGAAAAAAGAAAAAATAAATAAAATCGGGGAAAAAAATAAATACATTTACCATTGTTTCAAATATTTTCTTCTTATCTTGAAAGAAGGAAAATAGAAAAAAATGCCATCGCAGTACCTGTGTGAATCTCTGAGTTAGAAATAAATTAAACAGTAGTTAATGTTTCAATTCTTAAAAATGTTAAACGTGTGATAGTAATCGACTTTCCTAGGTAAGCGATAGAAAGTAAGTGTGTTGTAAAGCTTTTTGTAAAAATTATTTAACCAGAGACATGGGGAAATAAATTGTGACTTTCGATACGTCATTGATTTGCCCACGTGAAGGCAAGCAATCCTCAAATTACGTTTAAATATTAAAAAAGCCTTCAAATTAAATTTCCAGAATTTAAATCGATAAAATATTTTCCGCCATTGACGCCTTTTCATATAACGCAAACCTTTAGAAATAAAAAGCAGAAAAGATCTTGTTGATGAAAATCAGCTTTTTACATTATTTCAGTGTTCTAATATCTCCTACATTTAAACATTAATTTCAATTCTCTCGATATATAGAGATCCCAACAAGTATAACCTCATTAAATAAAACTATTAATTCTGTATCCTATCTCCAGCTAAATTTCTTGGCAAATTTTGTAATTGTTTACTTTGAAAGGGTAAATGTCGTTGTAAAAAATTAGAAAAATTTAACTGTTTATTTGATAATTAATAAAATCAAATGAAAATCTTCATTTAATTTTTACTGTTATCATAAAAAATATAAACTAAATAAAACTTTTGGTCGACTTTATTTCCCATTTTTAATTACCACATATATGTTGAAACTCTCCACATCCGCAAACAAATATTACAGTAAAATAAATAAGTAAATAATCGTAAATTAATTAATTAATGAAATCATATTTAGAAAAAGAAAGTATTTTCATTCGAATATCAAAATATAATTCTGGATTTCTTAATGTATCATGATAATAAAAGAGAAAAATAAAAAAGAGATAAAAATTATTTAAAAAAGTCACAGAATTTTCGCTAGCGAGTTACTTCGTAATTACAAGAATAAGATCATTAATGACTAACAGGATCATTGATGAAATATTTTGTTCAAAAATCAAGGCACAAAGGTTCAAAAGTTACGTTTCCTTTTATCTTTGTTTTATGAAAAGTGAAAATATTGTATCCTAATATTTATTTTAAATATTGTGCTCAAAATAGTATTATTTTATATCAAAAAAGACGAAAAGGAAAAAAAAGGGTATGAAGTGGACACACTCATTTGAACTATGTTTATAAATGTTTAACAACATTTTTTCCAGAAATTTTGTGTCAATGACGTTTTTCATTAATTTCATGAGCATACATCATTTTGTTAACTTTACTGCTCATTTTTGCACAAAGTTTGAAATTATGTTGTAAAATAAAACAATAAAATAACTATCCATCTTTGTTTAATCTTAATCTTAAATTACTTATTTACTATTTAATTTTCTTTAACTTCTTTTAATCTTCATGAATTTTATCGCCAAGTCTTAAAATGTCTATTCAACTTTGGATTCATTTTCTACATTTTAATTCTCTTATTCTCATTCCCCTGTAATTCATACCACAACGAAAAATTTTTCGTCACAGCTTACTAGTTTTATATAAGAGAAATATAATTTTGTGTCTTAGTACTTTTTTAAATATTATGTCCAAAATCATGAAAAAAATGCTGATGTACTACACATATACAACAACCAGTGCTCGAACAAATAAATAACATGAGTTGAAAAAATTTATAAATTAAATAATCAGGTTAATAAATTTAATATGAAATCCCCAACGAAATCCCTAAAGTAAAATGTGTGTAAGTTTACTAAAGAAAATCACAGTATATGTGATGCCATGGGCTGGAAGAGAACATGTGATGCATATCTATGCTTATCAGTATGTATATCAGTATATGTGATGTCATGGGCTGTAAGAGAACATGTGCATTCTTAGTAACCACGAAGGATCAGTTTTTGTAAAGATCAGTTACTTCATTTCTAATGTTAAAAATGCAAAGTAACAAAAATAATTAAGAGTTCTGTAGAAATAAAGTAGAAATGCTGTATGAAACGTCTAAATTATATATAGAAAGCTATCAAAATTTTATAAAGAATGAACTGATGAATAAAATCAGCAAACGTAAACTTGAATAGTCCTGTGATGAAACGATTTATTGAGAAATAATTGCTTCAAAGCATAAAATTTTATTTTTTTCTCAATGGCAGGCACAAGTCGTTATAAGCCTTGGCCACTACTAAGACCGGAAGCTGTGCTCACTTTATTAGGGAGGCATCGAATAGGCGGGCCACCGTTGCCTCGTGTGAAGGGACAGACAATTTACATCTATGCCTTCTCCGGGAATCAATCCCGGGCCCTTCAATAGGGATTCAGAGTCACTAACCCCTTTAGCATTTAAAAATTTATTAAAACTGCAATTTTAAAACTGACGTTCTATTAAAAAAGACCCAAAACAAATGTTTGATTATGAACTGTTAAAATAAGTAAATTTAACAAGGCGGAGATAGGGCTTTCCCTATTTCTTTCGACATTAAAACATTTACATATGTATCTTTAAAATACGTTTGCGCTATTGGCTTTTTTATGTTTTATGTTAAATTCAGAAAAGAATGTTTTCTTATCGAATTAAATACACATTTCAGTAAATGAACTACTGAGTGCTCATTACCATGAATCATTAGTGATAATTTCAGTTCTCATGGGCTGTTCTTTGTAGTTTTTACCAAAGCTGTTGCCAATTCACGTGGCAAAAGATATTTAATTACAACTTCAAAGCATAAAAATTTGTCTTATATCGTAATAAAATATTTATTGTTTTTAGAAGCCTAAAATGATAAGCAACCACTTCTTACTATTACCATGATTAATGCACTTTCTACAATGGGATTATAGGTGTTTTTTCCCCCGAGGTGTTACTTCTAAGCCTTATTTTTGCAAATATTTACAATATGTGTACTATATAATGCCTACCCATGGCAACAGAATTTCTCCCTGGTTGTTTTCTATTAAATTACACTCTTGTCACTAACGATACAATGTAAAAGAAAACCTACTTGACAATTTTTAAGATAGTTTATTTCAGCCAGAACTTTTGCATTATTCTCTATGCAAACTTAACCACGTTATATGTAACTTTCATGTAACGGGGATATCTGACCCAAACTTATAAAATAGTTTATTAATTTATGAAAGAAATAAAATCTTAAGTTAAAAACATTTTAGGAATTCAAACTTATATGAAATACTTAAATAAAACCATTTTGTGCACATCAAAATATACTAATTAAAACAATAATACATTTTCTGAAAGAATGTATAAGTTTCTTATATACAAAAAAAAATTTCCTTAATTGAAAAACGCTCAAGTTTCAGAATATAAGCTGCAAAAAAATAATATATTAATATCAATAAAAAATTAAACGGGATTCTTGAATGAAGAATATGTTGTCCAGGTGTTTTTCTTATTTTTATTCACATCACACACAAAAACCTATTAGACATAAAATCCAAGCATAATTAATCCGAGAACAGGAAATAAAAAGCTAGCCTAGTAAACCAAAAAAAAAAATACCTTACATAGAGTGCTAAAGATTTGTTTACATAAACATTTACCGCAAGGCCTGCCGGGAAAGAATTCAGACGACCGTTAATCACGCCATTTGTGCGTGGAAGTTACTAGAATTAAAAATTTTAACAGAATAATTAAAAAATAGTAAACAGCCATAAAAGGATATACCCACAATACATATTTGTAATTAACACAGAAGATTTAACACTTTAGTTCTGAAGTTCTAAATTGTACAAAAGTTGCACAGGACGTCTAAAAACCGATGACTCGGTTTTTACCTTGCAAGCCCACTTCGAGATACAAAACGTAGGAAGGCCGACAAAAAATGCATCTGGTGTCATATTACTAACTAGTTCCCGTGAACACTTCTTGTAACAGCACTGGTTATCAATAGATATTGTTTGTTTTTACTCTCTTTCACAAATAACGGACCAGCATAATCGATCCCAATTACTGTAAATTGGGCTGATTGCCCCAATCGAAGAGCTGGTAATTTAGCAACCATCTTGTCTCGTGGAGAAATGCTGAATCTTTCAAATAACACATTTACCTAGAATAGATTTTATAACTTGTCTGGCCTTTAGTATCTAGTATATCAAAATTGTTGAATCACTTCATAGAAAAATCTTTTCTAAATTTTTTAAAAAAATTTTATAATATTTGCCTAATATTGCTGCAGTTACTGCACCCATTAGTTCTAGGCGGGGCAACGTCACCTTTTTAATTCGTGCAACTCGTGATTGGAAAACTATGAAGCTATTTTTAAAAGTGCCATGCCATGTCTTGTACCTAAAGTATGCCTGCGCTCCAAAAGTTTTTAATGAAGCATAAGAGAATATATGGATCTGTAATTCTTCTTCCACCATTAGATTTGTGGCAGGAAAATAACATCGAGGAATTTTCAAATTTTGAA